GAGCCCGAGACAACTTCCGCAGCCCCTCCCTCCCTCCCTCCCTCCGAGCACAGCCCCGCCGATGTTGCGCTCGTAGATGTTTCCGTGCCTGGCAAGGGGCCACGAGAGTGCTGAAGGACGGGCTGCGCAGCGGAGATCACCTCAGTAAATCAGAGATGGGGCCTGAGGTCAGATGGCGTCTCTCCAGGGAGAAGCTCCAGCTGCATGGGAGCACGTGGGGCTGGGAGCAACCGGCCCCCAGAACGTGCAGCCGAGACCGCAGAGCTGAGAAGAGCTGCCCTGAGGCCATAGAGAGAGGGCGGTGAGGTAATCCTTGCAGCCCACCCAGCACTGCGGAGGCCACGGCAGGTACCAGCCAACAAGAAACCAGTGAGCAAAAAGCTGCTGGAAAGCACGGCTTGTGAGGAAGGGCTGGAGAAGGCCTGCAGACATCACAGTGGCCACATCATGTTTCAGCCAAAACTGAACAAAGTGAATGAAAACTCTGATTAAAAACATCCCCTGCTGATTTGGACTCTGCTCACCCCTATCCAGCTCCCTCAGCTTTCTCAAACCCCTCCCTTGCATTTTTGAAGTGTGTTTCTTGCTCTTTGAGCTTATTTCCACTGATGATATTTTGGCATGATGAGAAACCCGGGACGGCTGCATTTCTGGCTCCATCTGTACCCATGCTCAGGAAGCTGCGGCAAAGACCTCAGCCAAGGAGCATCTCTACCATCACGTCCAATCTGAAGCTTTCAAAGAACAAAAATGGCAGTTGTACCACTATCCTAAATAGTAACTAGCAATAAGACTTTATGGAAGTGTTAGAGAGAAGAAATACACTGAATGTGGGTGGAAGACAAATAGGTACTCTCGTACCACTGTAAGCAAAGTGGGGCAGATTGTTGCTAAGGTCTGAAGGGACCCTGAAGCAGGCATCACGCTCACGGCTTTGATCATGCCAGAATAATTCTGCTGTAACAGTTTCCCCAGCGTTGGGATCCCATCCTTTTACAAGATGTTTGTGCTTCTAGGCAGTATTCAGGATGCTGGAATGTATCACTGCCCCAGGCTGCATCAGCTGCTCAGCTGTTTTCCCACATAGCTACTATTCTTTTTTCCCTCTGAGAGCTGGCAAAAAGATGGCTTGAAACAACACAAAGCTGCCCTTTCCCAAGGGCCCATCAACTCTTACTTCCGTTCTCAGCATAGACCCAACAACTTTGCCATTACCCACCTTTAAATGCCACAGGCTAACAAGGGACACCGGGTCCCAAGCTCTGCCTCACACAGCAACTTTTCAGAACAAGCTGATGACAGCCCTGGAGGTCCTGATCCAGGCGTGCCTGCCCTCAGCCCCTTCCCCAAGGGCCTGCCCTGGCAGGGAGCGAAGCAGAGAGTGTTTTTTGGCTCCCGGGGATCAGCTGCACCCCCCCACCATGGCTACTGGCAACAATACCCACACAAACCTATTCCTGTTTGGTGTGAAAAGGCTACAGCAGCATCTGAAGGCTGAGCCCCACAGAACCCTTTTTCCCCTTGTCACCCCAGCCCCTTTCTTGCCCTTCACCCTGGGGAGAGGGACCCAAGGGACCCCACTGGTCACCCACAGCATCCCTATGCCACAAGAGGGCACACCAAGCCCACGGATGCCATCGCCCAAAATAGCAGCCAGCCAAGCAGAGCTCACAGGGGACAGGATATAGTGGGAAGGGTGGGTTAGAGGGGTAAATGCACCCAGGCCGGCTCATACTGCTGTACACGTCCTGGGCAATCGCCAGCAGGTCAAAAAGGTCCCTGGGGAGTCAGAGGCTTTGGAAAGAGCAGACTCGCTGCCTTCCTAGTCCCATTATGGTAATTGCCCCTGTAGCCAGAGCCCACCTTTTTAAGACATTTGGGTCTCCAGGTAGCTCTTCACATCAAGTTTTCAGTTTCTGGACCACAGAGTGCATAATGCTAAAGGGTGTCACTGTCCCACATCAGGTCCATTATCCCATTGTCCTGCTGTTTTCTTACTTACCTGCTGCTTTTTTTCCCTCTTTCTTTTGCTTCACGCCATTTTTCCCAGCTCTCAAGACTGCACTTTTCCAAGGACCATCAGTTCATGTCCCTAAGAAAAAGCCCTTTCCAGTCCACACCTTTCTCTTCAAGATGGGACCTGAGCACCATCCTGTTAGCTCAGCCTTAAATGCCATCCCAACAAGGGACACTTGGTCCCAAGCTCAGGTTCACTCAGCAGCTCTCACGACAAGCTGATAACACCCCTGACAGCCCCACTCCTGAGACCTGACACATTTGGTGTAAGACCCTACAGCCTCGTCGCAGGGGGAAGACTGTATTTATGGGGCCATTGATGGCAAGGCTGGGCCAGCCCAGCGCACACCCTGTTCCCCATGCCACCTCCCAGAGCACCCATGCAGAGCATCCTACAGCTGCAGCACCCCAAAAAGGCTGCCAACCCTCTCCAGAGACCTTCAGCCTCTATCTCCCTTGCCCCCCTCAGACGGCTGACAGAGGCAAAGATGTAACATTGGTGTGCATAGCGATTGTGGTTAGATTTTATTGGTTTTGGGTTTTTTTTTTTTAAACCCATATTATTGTTATAATACAAAATATACAGACTGGAGATGCCAAGCGGGTTGTGGGTCACCATGCCCCTGGGCAGGGGGTCACGCCATGCGACCTGCAGCGTGAGGGAGGAGGCGGCATCTGCTCCGCGTGGCAGGGTACGGTGGGTACCCCAGAGAGCCTGGGAGGAGGGAGGATGGGGAGAAAGAGGTGGGAGAGGTAAGGGTCAGGATACCTGCCCTCCCACCCTTGGGAGGCTGAAGGTGGGAGCTCAGCCCCGCGGCAAACCCAGGAACAGGACTGTGAGATGAACAATGTGTTGAATGAACCTAAAAAACACATCATGTCTGCAAGGGCTGGGCCAGGGACGGTTCCTGTGGGGAGCAGCCCCATAGCTTTAGCTCAGGGCCCTGGGGGAGTTTCTAATGGCTCCAACACCAGGGGCTCAGCCTGGCTGTGGGGCCCGGCACAGCATGGGCACTGGCCTTGCTCACCCCTTCCCCATTGATCCCAGATACTGCAGCTTGGGCCAGCCCTGATCGCCCTTGGCTGCTAAGGATGTGGAGGCTGGCGCAGCAGAGCTCGGGCTGCCGGGGCTGGGTACATTCCCAATGCCTGTGAGATTGCACAGAGGGGCTTCTGGGCTTGGCATGGGGTCATTAGCCCATGGGCATCACTGTCCCAGCTATCGCTCAGAGGGGTATGTGCGTAGGACAACCCTGCCTGCACACACCCTGCTCCAAGGAGCCGGTGGTAACAAAGATGTGGGGAGCCCCAGGGTGCTGGCTCCATCCCCAGGGTCCCCAGGCAGGCTCTCGCATCTCATGCCCAGAGAATGGGCTGAGCCCACCCTGCTCCAAGGTGACCCTCCAGCCCACCGGCAGCACAGCAACGGCTCCCGGCTGGCTCCAGCCTCGACTTTCTCCCCAAGGAGCTGCCAGCTCAGCCGTGCCTCCAGCACAGGACTGTACCTCTTGGGGACACCACTCTGCCCCATTGCTCGCCCCCCAGCCCCCCGGGCAGCGGGTGGGCTGGGACGGGGCAGCACACAGGAGCAGGGGAAGGTCAGCAGCAAACGATGCCCGGAGCATGGCTGTGAGGCCCGAGGGCCAGGGTGGCCGCTGGAGCCCAGCACACCTCCCACCTCCACATGTCCCCATACCCTGGGGTGCCATATCCTCAGGAAGGGGTGGGAAGGGTTTCTCTCCACCGGAGCCTCAAAGTGGGTCCCTGCGATCCCCTGTGTGCCAGCACCCCAAACTTAAGGGACAGGGCTGCAGCTCTCCCAGCCCAGCATCGTCCATCCTGGGGACTAGTGCCACAAGAAGGCACCTCGGGGTCCCTTTAGTCTCCCTTCTCCCCATGTTAGGATGAGCCTGCTAGGTCTAACCAGGCTCCCCGGGGTCAGGGGCTGTTCCCCGCAGCTCATGTAGTGATGAACCCCGAGTGCCCATATGGCTGACTTCTCCAGGCACAGCCCCTCTGCCCACCCACCGGCCCAGGGGCTGAGCAAGGAGGGCGGCCGGTGGCTCACGTCTGATGTGCCGGACATGCTCCCCGTGTCAGGGCATGGCAGGGGTAGGGGGGAAGCCAAGGTGCTGGTGCCCATTGCAAGACTTTACTGGTTTCTAGACAGAGTCGCTGGAGGATTTGGGCTGGAGCCGGTGCTGGGGGCTCCTTGAGCTGGGGAGGGTTAGGGGTGCGGGAGCTGTGGCTGCACAGGGTGCTGTGCATGGGGGAAGCCTCTACCACAGCCCACCGGGAATGGGTGCAGGGAGGTCTGTCCAGGCCAAACACTTGCCCTGTGCCAGCCATGCCCACGCTCCAACGTCTGGGAGCACCTGCCTGGGATCCCCCGAGGAAAGTGGAGACGCCCAGGGGGAAGGGAAGATCCCGGTGCCGACCGCGTCTCCGGGAAGGGAGGCCCCTTCCTGTGGGGGTGTCTGTGCAGCCGGCGGAGGGGAGGCTCGAAGGAAAAGTCGAGAGAGAAGCAGGTTCTGGGCCCAGTGGCAGGAGAGCTCGGCTGGAGGCAGGTCCGGGAGCTAAATCACATTGTCGAAGAGCTGCATGGACCGCATGATGTTCTCGTCCTGCGGGGAGGAGGTGGGAAGTGGGCGGGTTGGGCACAGAACAGCAATCTGGGCAGCTCTCCCCAAACCTGGCTTTACCCTTGTGGCAGCTCTGACCCATGGGACAAGAGCCCCAGGGATTACAGGCAGTTTCTAAGCCCTACTGGGATGCACGCCTCTCCTCATCTGCACAGGGATGCTGGCACGGATACAGTTCCAAAAGCAGAGCCCCAGCCTTGCCCCCGGGAGCCCTGCTGTCACCCCCCCTCTGCCAGGAGAGTGATGGGGGAACAGAGGTCCCTAGGGGACAGGGAGGTGGCCCAGCCCTAGAGCACAGCTGCTGGTGGCTTTACCTTCTGGCAGGACTCCAGGAACTCCTCGATTGTCACCACGCCATCCTTGTTTCGGTCCATTTTCTGCAGAGAAGCACAGCATGGCGGGGCATGGCAGGGACAGCCCCAAGGAGAGCCCAGCACGCCCTGTCCGGGTCCCACAGGGGCTGGACACAGCACACCCCTGCCCCAGCCACCCCCAAGCACCCGGCAGGACCATGATGGCCTTTTCTGTCCCTGGCTCCATCACAGCCCTGCTTCATCCCCAGTGTGGGGTGCTTTCTCCTGCACCGTGCCAGGCTTTGAGCACCACTGGCTCTGTGCTGGAGCTCTGCTCCCCCAGGATGTGCTCGGCTCACCTGGAAGAAGTTCTCCACGTGCTCCCGGGGCGCTTCCTCCCGCATGGCCGGGTAGGTGTATTTGCCCATCATGTCGTAGATGGATTTCATGATGTCCAGCATTTCCTGGAGGGAAGGGGGTTGCAGGGTCGACACAGGGCTCTGCCTCCTCCTGGTCCCCAACTCACACCCTTTTCGTGATGCTCTCCAAGGACCAGTGGGGTGCTCAGGTGTGTTCCTGCCAGCTCTGTGCATGGTGTGGGGCTGTGTGTGTGCTGCATGTGTGATGGAGCCCCAAAGCAGCACACCCCTCATCCACCCTCCACCCCAGAGACACCTCGGTGCCGGGGGGCCAGGAGGGACCTGTTTGCAAAGCTGTACTCGGTAAATATTGACCCCACCATCTCTCCTCCAGAGCTCAGCCAAACATCCCCGAGTCCTGCCCCCATTGCTGCCGGGCGCAGACCTGCGCTGGCCCCAGCCCTGACCCCCCATGCCACCTCTTTGGTGATGCAGCCATCTTTGTTCAGGTCGTAGAGGTTGAAGGCCCAGTTCAGGCGGTCATCAATGGTGCCCCGCAGGATGACGGACAACCCAGACACAAAGTCCTGTGAGGAGGGCAAGGCAGGCAGATGGGAGTTATGGCCACAGAGTCTCATGGACACAGAGGGCACAGCCCTGCTTGTCCCTCCCACAGAGGGGGAAACTCAGCCCCAAAGCAGTGCCCTGGGGCTGGGCTGACAAAGTTGAGTATCAAAAAGAGCCTGGGGAAAACCGATTGCTGATTGCTTGACCCCAAACATGTCCCACACTAGTCTCTTGGGTCACAGCACCCAAGAGGACAACATGCATCAGGACCTGCTGTTCAGCCAAAGCCTGGACAAGACCCAGCCACAGCTCTGCTTGCCAGTCTGGGTACCTGCAAGACACTTCCCAGCGTCCTTTCCCAGCCACAAACTACAGACACACCCCCTCGCCTTTTTCTGTTGCTTTTCAATGCTTTTCTGCTGCCTCTGGGCATTTAATAAACTCCACCAGCCCCTGTGAAGGTCCCCATCCGTCTGCAATGTTAGCAGTGCTGCTCAGCCCAGCCCGCGGTACCTGAAGGGACGTGCCCTCCCTGCCTCCGTCGCCCCATCGCCCACAGCTCACCTCGAAGCTGACGGAGCCGTCGTGGTCAGTGTCAAAGGCGTTGAAGAGGAAGGTGGCATACGTGCTGGAGTCTGAGGGGAGGCAGACAGTGTGAGGGGGTGCTGTGCAGCCCCCCCACCCCACAGAGGCACCCCTGCGGGGCATGGGGATGGGCACTCACCTCCCTGCGGGAAGAACTGTGAGTAGATCTGCTTGAAGTTTTCTTCATTGACAATGCCGCTCGGGCACTCCTGCCAGGGCAAGCCACAGCATCACCTCCACATCGTGGAGAGGGACTGACCATCCCCCTAAAACCCTGCAGCTCCCTTGCCTCGCCCCCCGCCCCAGCCCTGCGCTACCTGGCAGAGACAGCTGGTGAGGCTGCTTGGAGCATCTTCCTGATTTGGTGGGCTGCACCCCTTGCTGGAGGGCCTTTGTACCCCACACACCCAGGGAGGGGGCTGTCCGCACCCAGGGGGAGGGAGCACAGGATGAGGCCTCCCCCACTGAGCTCCATGGAGGTGGGATCACACCCAGAGGAAGGTGCATCCCCTGCTTCTGCCATCCGAAGCTGTTCCGAGCCCCGCAGACAGGGACGGCTCTGTCTTGGTGCCCAGCAATTGCAGGCAGCGACACTGGCTGCAGGAGCTCGCACAAACTGGATGATTGGGTACCAGAGCTGCTGCCTGGTGGGGATGGAGGCTGTGGGAGGGACACCAGCCCCTTCCAGTGCCACAAACCCCAGGTGAACCTGAGTCCTTCCCCAGAGCCTGGGGCACGAACAAGGATTTTCTGCCTTTGGAGCTCGACTCTGTATCACCCAAGGACCAGTTTGATAATTTGGTGCCTATAGCCCCTGAAAGGTTCAGGTCCCTGCAACTTGCTGTAAAAAAGCCAAGGCAGAGTTGAAAGTGGTAGCCAGCTTAAAGCACCTATGGCCTGATATTTCAACCCCAAGGTCCTGAAAGCCTTTGCAAACAGAATCACAGAATCACAGAATGGCAGGGGTTGGAAGGGACCTCTGAAGATCATCTGGTCCCACCGCCCTGCCAAGGGAGGATCACCTAGGGCAGGTTGCACAAGAACGTGTCCAGTCAGGTTTTGAAGGTCTCCAGAGAAGGAGACTCTATGGGCATGGGCAACACTGGGTGTGAAGGGCTCTCCAAGCTGGATGTGGCAGTGGAGGTGGGGCTAGCAAAGCTGATCAAAGGGTACTCACGTTCTTGAAGCCTCGGTACAGGACCTGCAGCTCTTTGCGGGTGAACTTGGTCTGCTCCTGGAGCTGCTCCAGCCCCTCAGGGCGGTGGCAGACGGTGGAGAGCTCAAACTCATCCTCGACGCTGTCTGCAAGGAAGCCGGGGGAAGAGAGGGCGGCTGAGGCCAGCACCGTCCTGCCCTGCCCTGCCGGGGCAGGAGAGGCACCTTGCGCAGCACACCCTGTCCTCTCACACCTGCCCAGGGTGACACATTTTTGGGGTGCCCTGCTCAGCTGGAGTTGGGTGTATGCCAGCAGGAGATGAGCTCAAACTCATCCTCGACGCTGTCTGCAAGGAAGCCGGGGGAAGAGAGGGCGGCTGAGGCCAGCACCGTCCTGCCCTGCCCTGCCGGGGCAGGAGAGGCACCTTGCGCAGCACACCCTGTCCTCTCACACCTGCCCAGGGTGACACATTTTTGGGGTGCCCTGCTCAGCTGGAGTTGGGTGTATGCCAGCAGGAGATGCTCAGAGACACCCTGGGGGCAGACCAGTGGCTGACACCAAGCAACAGCCCCCCCAGCC